TCAATTGTTCCATCGTGATCAGCGCCTGCTTTGGTGTTGAGAAGTACTCGTTCTTCCAATCAAACATGGATGGAGTCAAGGGCGGTAAGCACATCCCTTCCGACTGGTTGTGCGCCGCAATGGGCGACAAGACGACCACACAAGATTTCCTTTTGTGAACAATCATGGGACGCGTTTCAGTCCGGTTCTTCGAGGTCAATGGAACAATCACAAAAGACTGAAGGAACAGGGGCTGACCATCCAGACCCGAATCCCGTTGGCTCACGGGGAGGTGACGATTCAACCCAATTATGGAGAGAAGCAGAAGAAGAAGAAGAAGGGGTGGGTTTGCGAAACCGAACCTACGGAAAGATGGAAGCCAGTTCCCAGGACTCTTAGACCCTCTTGGAAAAAGACGGGCGAACGATCTGGGAATCCCAGGTCCATTAGTCCGGCTGACCGAATGCTGAGCCCTCTTCCGGATAAAAGCAAAGGTAAGGGCAACAAGGCGAGTTTCGCTTTTTTTGTTGGCGATGGGATGCAAGGGATCGCGACGTGTGTTGGACGGGTCACTATAGGATGGGATGAGAACTGGTGACCGGTTTATCAGCCTGTTTCCAAATGGTGCGACTGCGCGGGGAAATCGGGACCGTTCACCGGCCCGAGAGTACCACGGCGCACAAGATTGCCTTGCATATCCTATTCCTTATTCCAACTTCGAAGCAGCTATTCGGACAGGCGGCAAAATGGGCTCTTGTGAGCAGATTCAACTTTCACAGAGGGCGCGCTGCTGAGGAGTTGTTCTCCTTGAGAGCCCAAGGTCAAGGTGTGGACCGGCCGGGCCCTTCGGGGCTGAGTGGGCGAGGAGCTGATGCCGATGCGTCTGCTATAGGATACAGGGGCCGCCAACGGTGTTATATCTTTCTATATGGATGATCGCATGGTCACGCCCCTCCATTCGGGCTTTTCCTATCGAGATCCCTTCCACAATTTCAATGCCTCTGCGCTGATGCTTCCGAATGAAGCATTCCGCGCGGGGGGCGTGAATAGAGTTGTGGACCACTTGTGCCGCACTGCCGATCCCAGTGTAGGCATGCCCGCAGTGGCAAGCGTGTATATCCTCCTCCGAGCCGGAACTCGTGGCGGACAAGCGCTTCCCACGCCTAGATCGTAAAGTGGCCGCAAAGCTCCTTAAAACCTGCAGTTTTGCAACTAACACACACACATTGCCACTTGGCTCAATTCATGGTTTGTTTCACAATCGTCATTGTGAATCATACTGGCAAAACAAATCGAGCTCGCGGAGGATGCGGCTTCGAGGATATTCGGGGCGTCGCAGGTACCCCGGAGGACAACATATTCACTGTTGTTTGGGGATACCAAAGAAACCCTCGGTTTCTCAGGTTATCAGCCGTAGGGTTTGTCCCACGAGAGATCTTGTACCCAGCTTCATATTGAATCAATCAATATATCGCCAAGTGGCGCAACGCTTACGTGACAATGTCTGACACCTCTCGGTTTCTCAATATGTGTATGAGTATGTGCAGTAAGCGTATACCGCTTTTGTCCACACTCACCTGCGCAGCTGCGCTCCAGTTTTTTTGAAAGCATGAATTCGACCGTGAAAGAGCGTCCAAGGTACCGGCGCACCTGAACACATATGTGTCCAAGCACTAGCGCGCACGCATGCGCACGCAGATATTCTGCAATGCCTTTGTTGGCTTGGCATTGGTGAGTGCGGGGAAACGATTAGCTGGCCATCGTACTCGAAATCTAGTAAATAGGTTCAAACAAATCGCGAGAGCACCCCGACCAGCAAAGCATCCCGACCAGCAAAGCATCCCTTCCGAGGGCAAGAATGCAATTTTGTGGGAATCCCACTGGCTATTCCGCAAACAGAAGCGACAGGGCACGACACTTGGACAGAACCCATCGCCAACTTCCTAGTAATGCGCCTTTGCAGGCTCGGGGCCTCAGAGACGTGCTGCTACCATAGCTGAATCGTTTCATGCATGTAACACGAGCAACATCGCAGGTGCGTAGACCGTAGGTGCATGCGCCGCTTTGCGTATCTCTTGCGTCCAGAGTATGAACCTAAGCCAGATGCTTTGAGAATATCGAATGTGAAGTTCCAGTGCCCTGAACTAATCGCTGTGTTTGGGATATATTGGTAGGTCCCTGAATGGCAAGACAAGTGTGGCGTTTTGGCGGTCTTGTTTGGAAACTGAAGGACCAAATATGAGGGTCACTCCTTTCGGGTCCAATGTGTTTTGTCTTGTTTTGAGCCTTTTACTAGAACTTATGCAGAGATTGACAAAGGTCCCTGCAGCCAAAGTAGAAAACTGCACAGCGCTCCAGGTGCCCGCAAAATCTGATAGGCCGGACCGGGTTCGCAGACCTTAGGCCAGAGGAACTGAAGCGATGTAGGGAGACAGAGCAAACACGAAGCGTGATTTTGATGTCAGACATGCCGTCCAAATGACACACGTGCGATTTGCATGTTTTATCATGTTTTGCATGTTTGCCACAAAACGTCAGGCTGCCCCACATTTTCCGCGCTACATGTGCGACCGTGTCAGCACGCAGCAAAAGATTTTCTGACGCGGTGTCCACGGGTTTGTCATCAATTTGCAATCAAGTTTTCAAGTAGCCTATGAGTCATGCCTAAGCGATCAAGAATCTCGAAACGGCAAACACTAGGCCAGAGTTGTGCTAAAGAGCAACAGAGCACAACATTCAGCACGGTCGGTCGCCGCCAATGCAGCCGCAGAGCCAACCAAGTGTGCAGAAGCTAGTGGCATGTTTCCCCCCGTGGCTGAAGCTAGGATCTTCTTACATCGCAAACCGTGAATGAAGCTGAATGGTGCAGCTATGACACGGTAACGCATCAGATAAATACCAACAACAAACTACGGTTTCAGCAATTATGTGCATGCCAGTAAAGTCATCCGCAAAGGAAAGCCGCGCGATGTGTCCGAAGCAAATGACCAAACTTGAACCACTTTGCTGGTGAGTTGTTCGAACATGAGCAAGCATTTGTTGTTGAGGCTGAGACCTCGAAAGGTGGGGCCAAGGCAATGAACAGTATGGCCTTCCCCTCTACCGACTTCGAAAACGTTCTACCTGAAGGTAGGCGTTCCTGGAAGTCATCCAAAGATTGCCGCTTTTAGATCGCTGGCGCGAAATGGGTAGAATTTGACAACTCAACGTGCGGACTGGGCCTTTTCTGCAAGCAGTACTTGCATGCCTCCAAGCTCGCACTGTGCGGGTGTCCACAACAGGGTGACAGGGTGGGCCCAAGTAGCTTGTCAAGCATACTGGGCTGGATGTGTGTATATGTGTGTGTGTGCCTTTGTTTGAGTGTTAGGTCAAAGTGTCTTGCCCAAGAACAGTTTGTGGATGCGCTTTCTCTTAGGAATCTTTCAAAACGGGAGGGTGGCGCTCTGAGGCCACCGACTTGGGTTGGCAGCCGCTGCTGGGCGGCAGCAATGGCGCAAGGCAGGGAGGCTTTTGGGAGACTGTGTGCCGCTTTGCGACTTGAAACCTGTGCCAAGGCTTCCAGAGTTGCGAAGCAACTCTTGAAATGGGTAGAATTCTGCCTGCCTCGTGCAAGTCATGGGTTTGCCTCCACCTGGGTGTCAACTGGACGATACAGGCGACACCGACCACAAACTCAGGGCACTGAGCGCCCTACTTGTGACAAACAGTCCCCTCATTTGGGCCCGGCGAACAGAGGCCAGCCGGAGAAAGATCCCGAGCAGATTGAATGGCTTACCCCGTTGACTCCTGCCAGGCGCATGGGCCTTGGAGGCAGGGCAAATCGAAAGTCTCAGACGACCTGCTTGGCATTTGTCGACGTTGTGGCCCTCTGCCTTTCAGGGTTTAATGTTGACAAGGCCCAATTTTTGAAAAGCAGTGTGCATCTTGATGGGTGCTGTTCCGCAGTTCAACGTCCGAGTTGCAGCCAAGTATTGATACCTGCAATTTTGCAAGCAAGAAGTGAAGGAAACAGACACGAATGACTGGCTAGGCAGTATTGCATTTTTCGGGGGGGGGGGGGGGGGATGCGCCCGAAGTCAAACCGAGTCACCAGCTTTGGGTCCACGGGCCTGCCTGGCCTTGAATCCTTGCTGACGAGAGATGCAATGGTTGACAGGCATCACCACGAGTCGATGAGGCAGAGGTGGCACTGACTTCATTTACGCTTTGACGTTTCTGGATCGTCCACGTGTTTGCTGCAGCTCCGAAATGCATTTGGCATTGGACAATCAAGCTCCTGATTCTGATGGTCAAGGTGTATTTAGAGCAAGTTAGCGAATGTAATCGGGGTTGCAACATCTTCAAGACGTCAAGCATCAGCTGTGGCAGGCAATGAGCCTTCCTGCCGTGATTCGTTTCTGGATCCAACGAGTGGCTGAGATCCGAAATAGCTGTACACATCTACACAAAGATTTCAGCGGTTGATTTAGCTTGCCAGCCAATTGGGGTTCAATTCCTGCGCAGCTTTGTTGAATTGCTTGTCAAAGGGCACTCTCAATTTCAGTTAGCGCATGTTGTCAATTGCCTTGTGGACCGTGCGTTTCACCCCTGTCGTACTACACATCGTGACAGGCTGCATGTGGCACGAGCTTGACAGATGCTGTGGATCATATGGTATGGGTAGGTTTTGTTCCACTGATCGCTGGCCCGTGTTGGGAGATGTCTCACCGCTAGTGAGGACATGGGCCTTGTAGTGCTGGCTTCTCCTACCAAAGTAACATCACACGTGGATCAGACGAACAGCCTTTTTCAACTTCCGGAGACTCTCCAGAGAAGCCATGGCATTGGGTGTGAGACAGGGAAGTGAGCGAAAACAAAGCGCGCAAATTGTCTGGGCAATGTGTTTCAAGACACTGCACTTCAGATGTGTACATGAGTGTTGATCAGACGTGTTTCGATCCAAGTGCCATTTGATTGTTGTACTCTGCAGAGCGCAGCACTCAGTAACGGTTGAGTCTAGTTGCGCTGGAACCATCAGTGTGAGTTGCAGACATTTGGATTCAGATTCAACTGTAATCTTTCCCGCCATGAACCGCTTGGCGATCTGCTTACCGCTTTTCGCTTTTGGCAGCGACTGCCCGGCCACCGGGCAGAGCTTGCTTCAACATGGCCGCAAGCAGTCCGCGGACTTCCCACCGGCAGCTGGCAAGGGAGGTTCCTTGCGGGCGAGCCAACTGGAAGGCCACGAGGTTTGCAATGATGACAGCTACAGGAGCAGCGCTTTGGAGGCAGGATACGATGTAAATATGACACGTCCTTCATCAGTTCATGCTTTGTTCGGCCCTAATGTTGACTTGCGCAATAGTGAATTTCGAGTCCATACACATCTATTGTCATCCATGCACACTGCACACCACACTGCATACCACGGTTTTCTGCAACCAAGGGTTGTATGTATGTGCGAGCTAGTTGCAGACGGAAACAGTCCACCCGGAGGCGCGTCCTTGCATGAACCATAAAGTCTTGGTCAAGTAATACCGCCAATGCGCTACAAGCAGCTACCAGCTGCTGGGCGGGACATCATAGTATTTGACAGCGCTGGATACCATTCCATAGATGCTTCTCAACATGCACGTTCTCTCTATAGAGGTCTACTATCAGGCTCCAGTTAGGAAATAATCCCGTGTGTTTTGCTCGGATCAGGCGCGCTTTCTGCAGCAGCCCGTAAAGCAGACCGAGACAAAGGAGGTACTTTGCCAAACGCTCGGGGCTGATGCCGAAAATTGGATTCAGATGAATCTGGGGCAGACGACTTTGGAGGATGAGAAGATCTTCTCCAAGATGTGCAGGAGAGGAGATAAAACATGCAGCTTTTGTTGACTTCTGAGGCATGATGCAACTTTGTATGCCACACGTCACACGAAACATGGCACAAGTAGCGTAAGCAAGTCCAGTCTTGGCGTGAGGACAGGGAGGACGCCTCAACTCATCGAGCCTTTGGCAGGAATTCTGAGAGATCCTCGAGTGTTCTGCGAGGAGCAGAATTCAGACTCATTTTTTCCTCAAAACCTGTTCTCCATTGACTGGCTGGTCTTGGCAGACAGTGGTACCCACTCCAACACAGCCAAGCGCTTCTTCTTCGATGCTGGTGGGTCCCACTTCAGGGATGCCACCATGTTCTTTGCTCAGAAGTATGAGGAGCGTGGGCTGCCTATGGATCACATCTATGTGTGGGAGGCCGAGAAGCAAGACTTAGAGTCCTACTGGGAGGGCACACCTCCCGAGGTGCGCCAGAAGTGGGAATCCCGAGTGACCTTCTATAACGGCGTGCCTGTTACAAATGAAACCACATCAGCGAATAATCCAGTCTCCAGGATCCATGATCTGTGCGGAAAGGATGACTTCTGCGCATTCAAGCTGGACATTGACCATCCAGAGCTTGAATCCTCCTTGGCGGAGCAGCTTCTAAGCAATCCTGGCCACTTGAAAGAGTCTTAGGTATGCAAAAAGCTGGTTCTGCTTTCAGCAGATTGAGTCTAGTCGGAGTCGTGTGATGCTTGTTCTCAATATGTTTCTGCGCTAGTGACAACAGCAAGAGTCAGTCATGTGCACTCCCTACAACAAGGAATTCTTCTTCGAGCAGCATGTGCACGGCCTCATGCAGGACATTTGGGAGAAAGGAGGAGATGTTACTGTGGAGGGCACAGTCCAGACGACTTACGAACTGTTCCAAGCACTGCGGCAGAAGGGAGTTCGTGCTCATTCGTGGATCTGATTCTGACGGCAAAATGGGTGTGTTCTTTTCTTCAGTTCTTTTTCGGAGCTACAAAAGGGAGGTGTTCTGTTTGGTGTTCCTTTAACACACTCTCCAAAGCTGGCACCCTCAGGAAAAGACATAACCAAATACACAATCCAGCATAGATCTGCCCGAAAGTAAATTGACTCGCACTGATTGAAAAGGCCGCATCGGTTTCGTATTCGTCGGTCATCGGCATGTTGCATCAAGCAAAGACAATGCGTCAGATATGAACGTAGATCAGTTTCACTAGCAGTGCATGTTGTGTCGCAGATCGACTCTTGAAGCATCCAGCCAGGCATGGCTTAGGCAAAGTTCTTGCCTATCTATCCACGCTTTGCGCTTGCATGTGCAGTCCGACTCGTTTGCTTTGGGGCGAAGCACGACTGGTTTGTGTTGGGGCCTAGTTCATAAGAATGAGTGGGAGTTTGCAAAATATTTGCTTATTGCCTTGATATGTTCGCAGACCTGCTCATCAGCAAGGCCATGCAGAAGAGCAAAGACCTTATATCAGCATTCGACAGAAACGACGAGACATCCAAGTATGCTTAGAATGAGAACTAATAAAGTGATGGTTACCCAAGTCCGCTCTGCACATAGGCGAAGACAGGCAAATGCAGGCATATATCACCGGGTTTAAGCGGCAACACAGCACACCAATGATTGCAGCTGTACAACTCAGAGCAAGAGGGTGTCTGAGCAAATGTTCCCCTTTCCGTATCACCGAGGGCCTGGTTGAAAGGCGG